AAACCAGTTTTAGTAAGAGTAATGTATACGACTGGTTGTGCGGAATAGATTGTTTAGCTTCAGAGGGTGCTTACGGACTAGCTGAATGGATGAATTAAAAATTCAAAGCACAGAAAAACTTTGTTCAAATTAGTGGTTCTCAAAATGATGTCGGTTCGAGATAAAAGCTAATTTGAAATTAACTTCGACAGTGTTATTACCGGGTTTATCAGAAAAAATTCTATGTACATGTGTAATGCATTTTGAACAACCTAATCACACAAAAGTTCAATTGTTAAATCAGTTTATCTGCAAAATGATTGTATGAGATACAAATTCAGATAATCATAATGGGCACACTCTCTGATAATGGATGAAAAAGAAAAAGAAGAAGAAATATCAAACATTACTGAAATTCTCAAGCAAAACAACTACCCAAAGGACTTCATCAACACAGACATTAAGTATGGCCGAAAACGCATTCCGAAAACATGGACCTCAACAGTCGTCATTCCATATAGAGCAGAGATGTCAGATGATATCAGAAGAGTACTCAATCAGCTCGACATTAGAGTTTTCTTTAAAACATCAGACACACTGCAAAGCAACTTTGTCTATATGAAAGACCAAATCCCTAAGGATTTTCTATCTAATTGTGTCTATAAAATAAAATGCTGGCTTGGAATATGATGCGATATACATCGGACAAACATCACGAGAAATCAAAATCAGAAGAAATGAACACCGTAGAGCATCTCTTCGACCACCGAGAAATCCCGTTGAACTACAAAAACTTGAAAAATCATCAACCATAGGTCTACATGTTATAGAATCAGGTCACAAAATTGATTTTGACAATATTGAAATAATCCAGAAAAACTTCAGAAATCACAAAGAACGTCTAATATCACAAGCACTTCATATCAAGTGGAATCCAAATTGTCTGAGCTGAATAGGAATGATGGACTAAAACAGAATCTGACCTAGTTACAACACCCCCTTCTCCCATGAAGTGACAAAATCAACACGAATGTGATAAGCAAGTTCACTATGTAAACACACACTGCCTTTATAATTTTAATAATAATAATAATAATTTGCTTTATTCCAAAACAGTACTTGTGATACAGAATGGAATTCTCAGCATTTTTACTACAGTATTGCATCCAGTTAGTACATTATCAATAAATAGAATTCTACATAGATTAAGGAAATCTCAGTTCATTATGGCAACAACATATTGGCATGTCGGTAGCAAAGCCAAAGTTGAACAGTGTTAGAAGAGTAGGTGCTATCATATTTACTGGCGTAAGCGGAAGAAAGAAACAAAGCAGCACATAACGCGAAAAAGAAAAAAGAGAAAGAGAGAAAAGGAACTGATCAAACCCACAATCTACACTTGGTTTTGTTATTTTTACCAATTGACCAATTTGACAACGAAAAATGACCCCAGACTAAAGAACGATGACCAAGTTAGTAAACCTTGTTTTGATACCATAACAGATGTACTATTACCTTTGTTATTTGGTTTAGTGATATTCATTGCTATTTTGACTTTCAATATGTCCTTTTAACTTGACTTAAGTCTACTTTCTCATCTTTTAACTGTTTGTTATATATATACTGAGATTTTGTAAATTCCGGTTTAATAATACTTTGATAAAGCTATTAGCAGTAGCATTAAATAGCGAAACGTCAGTAAAACACAACAATATCGTTTTGTTTTTGATTCATTGGGAAATACAAAAACCTTTATTATAATGAATATCATATACCCAATGCCCGAATTTTTTCAAACTGTTAAAAGTGAACTTGGTTTGGACATATATAATGATAAGGAGTTTAAGAATAATAATGATGGTAGTTATTAATACTGTTCTTAGGAGTATCATAAGATAAGGATCACCAAAATAGACTAATGGTAACAATGGATTGTTTTTGCACTCACTTCAGCATATTTCAGATTGCCCTCTTAACCACTTTTATAGAAAATCTTAAAGTCCGTACTGATAGCAGTCCCAAGGTACTTATCAATTATATGTTTGGCTGTAGATGAGTTTGATGATCTGCAGCGTTTGTTTATCGAGATTTCAGAGTTCAGTTGGTTTTCAAGTCATTTGAGCATATCTTTGATATGAACTCTGATCAAGATTTAATAGAATAGTTTCACAAAAACAAAATATATTTACATATATATGTATGTTTGCTTCATCCTTTACGTGCATGGTGTGACTACTCACCAGTATAGGTGATGTGTGTGTACACACACGTACACAAACGTGTTAATTGTTATGCTGCTTGAAATGCATCCAATATTTTAACATTTTACCCGATTTTGTTAAAATATCAAACAAAATGCTACAGAGGAAATGAAGATGTTGTAAGGAGATGAATATTTATTCTGAATCTACTGAAATCTCTGTGCCAGAGTAAAGTAGGAGAATGGTTTGTGTAACCTGAGGGAGTTCTCGAGGAGTAACTGAACTGTACAGCCAAAGTGAGGTAATAACGAAAATGTGTGAAGTAAGTAGGGTGGGGAAAAGAAAAAAGACAAAAATCAGTTGTGTTACGTTCAGGATACACACCATGAAATGAGTTGTGAGCGAATACGTCTTCAAGCGAAAGAAAGCCTGTGTATATCTATATGCTACAACCTATCCCTTTTGAAAGTATCTTCACGTCAACGAATAATCTGCTGAAGTCATTTCTAGTCAGCCTCATGTAACTGAGACTTCAGTTAATCAATTGGGGAAGGCAGGGATATGTATACACAAGAAACTTGTACAACAGCTACCCTTTTACTGATTCTTAACTGTTCACTATAAATTAAGAACAGAATAATAATAAAATAAGAAAGCCTTCCACTTCTCAACTAACTTCACATCTTTTGTCTCTCCATTCTTCTGTTGGTAAAGTATAATTTGTTAAACGTTTTATCTTTACAATACCTCCATTACAATTGATGATCACTCACTAGTCCTTGTAAGTAATCATAAATAATTGCGAACCTATTACTATCTTAAATGCAATCGTCGAAAACATCTCTTCGCAACATCTCACAACGAGGATTGTTCGTGTGAAACCAAACAGCGTCTAATATCACAGAAATCGCAGGTGAGGTCCAGATAGGGAATCATTAATGTGCAGCAACACGACATACCCAGTTCCTCGATGGTGACTTTATAGAACTTGGAAAGCGTGAGCCAGTTTTAGGCGACCAAGGATCACTGCAACGATTCCAGCTGAAAGACATCAGTTATAAAGCGAGAAACTAAACAGTGCTGAAATGGTTATGAGTCCCTAGAGATATACAAACAAATCGATGTGAAAAGCTTTCACGAGAAGTGATAGACGTATCGTTAAAGCGAACTTCTTGAACACCGTTGGTTTGTACCAGAATATCGAAAGTGCTTGAACAATAAACTCACAGGATTTACGACTGTTGTTATTTGGCCAATGAACAAATATTTCCTGTTACGTCAGCGATTACAGTTAATCCCTCATAACAACGTAATTATTTAGATGTGGTAACACCGTTTTTGTGTTTGATGAAGGCATAATCGCAGGTAATACACATTCTAACGACTGTGATTAACCATGATTTATATCTACAGATTACGACTATATGACTTTTGGGATTGATAGATTTCAGATCATTTGTAAAAGCATTGTTGGATTTTACAATGTATGTAAGAGTTGGTATGCTGTACATTGTGGTGACTTTTAAATATTTTCTTCACTAAATCTGAAACTTTGCCTTACTAAAATATTGTGTATATCCCAAGACCATCTACTGAAAAGACCAGTATCTGTTACAGCTGCGGAAAAAGCGAATACTAAAATATCAATGGGACAGTGGTATCAGCAACATCGGATTATTGCCGCACAAAATATAAGTGGAATTACTTGTGTACTTGCAGGAATTGGTGCCGGTGCTTCTTAAACGAAAAATGAATCGTGGTGGGAGAAGAGAAAACCGTGTCTGAGTGCTGGAACTGTAAGATACAAATCTTCGAAAAAGGGTTAGTATAACGCATTCCAATAATACGGCAACTAGTCCTCCCAGGCACTACCATTCACACAGAATATTGGAAAGATAACTCGCGTACTGCCGATGATTCCCAAACTAGGATGAAACAGCAGCTGTCCAGTAGTCCTTGGTTTTCAATGGTTCTCTAACTGATATCAGTCCGTGATCAACTCGTAAAATCATCATTAGGCTATATTCAAACATTCTTCCCATTTAGTAAATCCAATAAGTGCAAATAATACAAATTATATAAATGCATTCTGGGTCTATCTGCAAACAGGTATTGGATTAGTAAATTGTTCGTTAAATAATATGACATACAGTCAACTAGATGAATTTTTGTATTTAGACTAGTTAGATAAATATATATGTATACAAACACACCCATGAGATTTCACACCACAAATAAGCGCCTTCTTGAGTTTTATAACATAATATTTATTCTATCCCTTGCTACTTTATTGGTAGCAAACCATTAACTAATCCCAAGTAGATCGTCTTCTGAACCCACTGTAAATAAACAGAGTCGTTTTGTGTCATTTTTAACATGTATTCCATCACGTGACACTCTTTACTGTTTCATTGAACTACGACCTTACTGATGACCTTCTTCTGAGTATAATAGAAAATGTATGCACTTATTTCATCATTACTATGCAGGTTTGAGACTGTCTCCTAGTTGTAAGAAACTATGGAATACAGTGAGTACACTTTCGACTTGTTTCGATGAAAATTAATCAAAGAAACAGTTGTATAGTCAGATTTGCTGAACTAACAATTCTTCATAAGCGTATGAACAAATAATCCTTTTATCTGGGCTCTTAATGATAGGAATGAGGTAACGTGCACGGAACCCGCTTCTCATTCTATTTGAAATGTCATAAAATTTCAGTGTGTAGCCATTGATAACTGTAAGGAAGTAACTTGGAAAATGTCTGTTATCATTAATGTTAAAATAAAATTTAGTTTCCTTCATGTTACTGGAAAATAAAACAAATCTGTGAGAACACTTCAGTAAGAAGAAATGAATTACTATGCAAAATGTAAATTGAATATATTACATAATTTAAGAGTTCAAAAGATTCATGCAAATTATGATCTTTCATTGTGTGATTCCCCTCCTCAATCAAAGCACATTGATATTGCAGCGAAAAGTCCAATTATTGTTACGAATATATTAAAAAACTCCAATATCCTCATGAACCTGGAGGACAATTTTTCCAATTGGTTCTTCAGTCCACATACTGCAGTAAACAAAATCTGAGAATAGATACACAGAAATTAACATTTTACATCAGCAAACAAGACGTTCGATATCATCAGGTTTTATGAAAGATCTGAAGCACTGTTAAAAAGTGTATGGGGTTGTAAAAATGAGTACGTATGTGCGAAAATTGCTAGTTGAATGTTGTAATGTATACTCATCACGATGTTGTTTCCCTCACTCCACATATTTCAACATCTTTCTTTGACTATCATTCAAAAGGCTACCTGGTATCCTAACCCAAGCTGAGGACAGGCTGAGAATCATGCTCCTGTGCACCTCAATCAAAATATTAGAATGCCGCTGTTTGGCAGAATTAAAAGAGCCTCTGAATCCTGGACGTCTTCTCCAACTGGCTGAATTGAAGCAAAGTGAGCTTTACGAGATTCGAATTGCAACACGCCACTTCATGTGGTAGACCCTACAATGGCAGTCAATTCAACATCTCAAATTCATTCACTTTGGAAAGACTTTCTACGGTGTCGGTTGTGAAACAATTTGGCGGATACCTCAACAAAACGGAGTGAGGTGCAACAAACAATCAGAAGCCTTATTCAGAAGCTACATTATGATGCCACGTGTGAAATGATTTACAACGGAAAACTTCAATGAAACCTTTGAAGCAAGGACCAGAGGAAGATTTGTCTACCTACTGTCATCGATGATATTCCTAATCGTGATGAACTGGATCAAGTGGAATACTATGCGATTTGAGAAGATGAAAAAACATTGGAATGACAAAAATAACTTATCAGATTTAGGCTTCATAGACGATTGATATCACATGTTCCACAAACTTGGAGTTATACAATCGGAAACTGAAACGTTGTGGGAATAGACAGAGGAGGTTGGATCTTAGGTGTATACAGAGAGGTCAGAGGATGTGATAAAGATACCAGACCCACAGAAAAAGAAATGCACTTCAATCAATAGTAGAAATATAAAGAGAGTTGACCGTTTTATTACTACTTACCTGGTTTAGCCGGCACCATCTTAGTCACAGGCAGGCAGCACGGATTAAAATGACAAATCTAGTCATGATCGGGTTGTGAAAGAAAACAGCGTTCATTACTCTGAGAACCATTGTGAAGATATATAGCACTCATCATTTCGAATATGATCCCAAATTTAACACAAACATCAACGTCAGTGCTCCTATATAATTCAGACACTTGACGCACTCATCTACTTCAGAGTTTCATTAGCAGCTGCCTCCAGTGTTAACAAGGTTCTGTAATACTTACAGTGATAATTGGCCCAGTGTTGTTAATTATTCGGTATTATCAGTTAAGTATATGTAGGCATATTTTCAAAGGATTTTATGGTGTGAAGTCTGTCTAGAAACTGGAATGGTTTCCCGGGTAAGATCGCTAACCTCACGTCCATGATTCCTCCTTTTTCCGACTTAAAACTTTCCAGTAAACTAGTGAAGTTGTTAACATGGAACTAGGATTATCGGGTGTAGCCGGATGGAAAAAGAGAAGTGACACGCAGGAGATCGTAAAAGTAGGAATGAGGTGAGTCAGACTAGCGGAGAACAAAAACCTGGCACAATCTAGATTAGTTGACCCGAATAAGATAAGAAATCTGGAGAGTAGTTCAGCTATATGACTGACTACATACAATCACACAACCATACGATAAGATGTCAGTTTTAAAATCTAATATAACAGGGTGCAGGGAGAGAGTGATAACGAAAGATTTATTTATCGAATCAACTGAGAGGGAATACGTGTAATGGGAATGATTGAACACCTGTTCACCCTGACGTCTGGAAAATTCTACTACCCGTACATCATATAGGAAATGATAAAGAAAGCTATAAAACGAAAGTTTCGAAGTCGTGTGACTATAGATATAAGTATAAAACTTGGGCACTGTAGTAGAGTATAACTCCATTATGGATAAGATTTTATTTTGATAAATCACACAGTGTTGTGCAGTTATATTAACTGATGACATATCAGGTAACTTGATATGATTATGAGCAATAGTTTTTGCTCGAAATGTCATCAGTTAATATAACTGTACAACATTGTGTGACTATAACTGATATGATTATGAAAAGTAATAAAATGTGTTCGACACATCATCCAGTAAACAATACTGTTCCACTCTGGGATGTATCTAATAAACGAATGGATGTGAAATGGAGTCTGCCGAATTCATATGTTCCACTTGGAAACCCAGATAATGGTATTGATAATGATTGTAATGAATACAAAGATAAGCTACTTGAAGAACATCACACCCTTCACTGAGCGTGTGTTTCCGGTGTCAGATAGAAAATCATGAATTTAAGGTGCAAAATAATGAAGCCTGCCGACTTTGCGCAACTGAAGGAGCTCCATCTGCTGAGTTCAGGACCCATATTCTACACATAGTGTGAATTTTGAATCTGCATTAATATTATAATAGAAAATTTAAAATGATGCCACTTATGAGACGTAAGTCCAGTACAGGCGATCAGTTTATGATAAGGCGTCACAACAGACACGTACACGATTGACTAAACTGTTGGAACAAAAGTCTACCGTATTTCACCTGTATTCTTTATTGTAAAAGTAATTATACAGAAAAATGTTGGAACGTCAGAAATTCGGATTATAACTTCAGTTCAGTGGAATTATCTATAAAGTTGGTTTGACAGTACAATGTAACTGTTGACACTGAAGTATCGTGCCATCAATCGTCATAGTGACTAGCTGAGAAATATGGAATCTGTATTCATACCGATGTCTTCGGATTTTAGTTGTGTCTGCTAATGACTAGGTTTTTAGCCTGAATCTATGCCTCAGTGAGCTTAGAATGTTACGTATCTCACAACTTTCCATCATTTGATTTTCTTTAGTCACGGGGTAATGAACTTCATGTTACCAACACTTATAAACAACAACACAATCAATATTTCACTGGAGGCAAAATGACGTGAAACTTACCAGAGTTGCTGCAGAACACAAACATAAACCGGCGAGAATTCTCACGTATATCTGGAGTGCAAAAAGTATCAGAGGATCGTTGATAAGTGAAGTGAAAAGATTTTTTGTGTAATGAACTAATGTTTAAAGTGAAGAGAATTGAAGTTCACTCTGATTTTCTGTAATTCACCTTAAGTATTCAGATGTTCAGAAAAGACAAATTTTTTCTTCAGTTATGATAAAATAACAATTGGTCACTTTTGCACCTTCGTTTTTCTCTTTTAGATAACCCAGTAGAATTGAGGAAGGCAGGATGACTAGACGGACTGAATTTATCGATTATTAGAAATGTGCAATAATCCGGGATAAATTTCAAATGTGAATAAATCAAACCTTGACGATATATGAATTATTCATTCTGTGTGTGAATAAAGAAGAGAGTGTGTCTACCGTATGCTCACAAAAGCTGTATAAACATAGCGGTTTTCTTTTACGCCCTATTCTTTTGTTTAGTCTACTTATGATAAAAACGAATGAAACAAGCTTAGTTTTATTCCACTGGTTATTGTTCAGTTACCAACACCCTGAAATGGAACGTTACTCCATACATAAGTGTATAAGGTACTTCAAATCTGTTTCAATTGAGAGGCTATTCAACTAATCTTTCCATCATAATGAAACAGAAGGAATGGATTAAAGTCAGTTATCAAGCAAATGGTTAGAGTTAATTTATGAATAAAATGGTACAAACTTCTAGAGGAGAGAGCGGCAGTGAGAATATATGCTTAGTCAGGTATCTATTCCCCATCTGAATCTGTTTAGTATTCCTGAACAATTCATCATTGTTGCTTCCTGAAAATGAAGTTGTCTCTTTGCTGAACAGCGTTTCAACCGGACTTCATTTGCAATCACTGGAGCAAACAACTTGACAATTGACCCATCTTACGTTCTTCTGTGTGCGTTGGTGGCACAGCGGTAGAATGCTAGCCAACCAGGCAAGTGGTCCGAGGTTTGATCCCCGGCCGAGGCACTCCATTAGCTCGCTAAGCTAGTAGTAAGAATGGTAAAAGAGGAAGTTTTAGCATGAGGCTAGCAACCCCATCACTACTGCTACAGAAATTTCAAGCCTTTAGTCTGAAGCCCTATTTTCCAGTGGGAACGTGGAAGAATAAAAAAACTTTCTTCTCCATAGATATTTTAATTGATTGTACGATCACTTCTTTATTTTACGCTTTCATGCAGAAACTCAAACTGGTTGCATTGATAATCTATTTTATTCTTATTAAGTGGGTGACCTCCATTTTGCCGCAAAGATAATTGATGCACCGTGAATAATAAAGCAAATTGACAAATGCATTGCCAAAATACTACACTTCTAAAGAAATGTCTGCAAGAACCAGATCTCTGAATCTTGTTTCTGCCCACTGTTGCACCCCTAATCTTCACATAGCTTTGATTTTCTCTCACTGATCTCAACTCAATATTGACCCTTCAATTTATCTAACTGCCTGTTCATTTATGTTACATTCACTTGATCTGTATTTGAATTCTCACTCTCATCTCTTGAATTTTCTATCACTTTATGTACACATAAACCCTTGTTGTTACATTGTCAACAAACTTGTATTCCTGCCTCCTGTTTAATTACGACAGTAAGGATTATCAAATACCCTCTCCGTTGAAGTAACTTCGAAGTTCTTCATATGGTAGCGTTTAGAAAAGTGTGTCAATCCAAACTCCTGGTGGCTTAAATAAAGCTGTGATATAAAAACCTAGGCCCATTTTATCCTTCAAATGCATTCGTTTACACTTTGTTTGAAAGAAAATTTCTGATTTAATTTTATTGTGTTATGTCATTTTTCAGGCACTTAAAATATCATAGCCTAGGTGAACAAATTGTTTTGCCTGCTCACCTATTCATTAGTTTTACCAATGACCATGCTTTGGGCTGTGAACAAAAGTTTGAGAAAGCATGTAGCAAACAGAATTTTCATCTATCATGACAGGATGGCAAATATTGAGACAATTAACTATTGAATAAATGCTTTCACCCCTAGTTTTAGGTAAGCATGTTTTCTCTGATGGGTAGGCCATTATTAGACATATATGATGTGGAAGACTTGTCTCTTAGGTTGAGGTGGTTATGTTTCTTGACTTCAATGATTCACCGACGAAGCTTTTATTGTCTTTCTAAACAATAACTTCAGCAGGCACTTCAAAATAAATATAGAAATAAGGGAATGACGGTATTTATATACGAGAAAATGTATCAATTATTACTCACCCTTTCTCGAAAGTAAAGCAGAATGAATCCCGAAAAGGCGAGTACAGATGCTATCGTCACGAATATGATTAATCCCTTTGTTGTCAAATTACTCAACTTCCAACAGAGAGCAATTACAATTGCCGAGATCACTGCTGTTATTGCAAATGATATAAGGAATGACACATAATCATTGTACAAAAATCGAACACCCGCCCACAATGAAATGAACTGGGTAGAGAAATATATGGAATTTGAAAAAAAAAATATAATTTTATCATTCTCATTTTATGAAATAGAATATTAGAAAATTAAGGAAATGGGAGAATTTTTTCTTTAGTTTCATAAAGTGTTCAAACACTAGAAATAAGAAATCATGAAATGGATTTCTTCACGAACTAATGTCTAACAGAGAATTACTGTAAACCACGACTTACTGGTGAACAGTCTCAAACTACAATGAGTTTGATTTTCAATGATTCTGTAAATGATAACGGTGAGCTACAAAGAAATGGGGAAAAATCCCTACAAAATTTGGAACATGATTATAAAACAACTTTGTTTGAGTAATTCAGTATATCCCGTTCCCAAACGAATATATTGTATTTCTTTGAAGCTGGAGCCTTCTTCTTTCAATGTTATTAAGTAGTATTCAAGTAATCAAGAGCCCGATCAATTTTTTTGTATATATCTTAGTGAGAGAGGAGTTCTAACCAGTATCATACCCGTAAGTGTGAATATTTTCTTGGTACACGGAATTCTCGCAGTTCATACTGTAGAGTGATGGAAGTGTAGCATTAATAATAATAATAGCTTTATTCCAAACAGTATTTGTAGTACAGGTATGGAATTTTCAGCGTGCATTACAATATTGCATCTAATTACCTCATAAATTTTTATAAGATTTTAAAAATAAAAAGCAACAACAACAAAAAGAAAAAAAGAGAAGTAAAAGAAATGAAAAAAATAACAGCATTGCATTCACATATTTAAACAATGCACCACAGGATATGAAATATAAAATTAGTGTGTAATGAAAGATGTGAACAATAATATGATAGTAACAAAGAAAGGAGAACAAAAGCTAATGGGAACTATTATTTAGAGTGCCGCAGTAAGGTGATCGTGTCATACCCAACGGATTTCTCATCACATAACAGCTGTGCCAGGTAAGGTATTGTGGAGTTTTGGTACTTGGTAGTCCTAGCATATAGCCTCCTGTGGCTGCTTCTAGTTTTACCAGATGAAATGCAAGGAGAGAGCTGCGTATAGAGAGGATGCTCGGAGTCTGACAATATAGTATTCGCTAGTTTCTTACATGACATTATATGTCTATCCACAATGGTGTTAACCAGTTGGTTTAACGAAATCCCACTTCCCCTACTAACAGCTTTTAGTGCCCTACGCAGCAAAGCAAAGTCTTTCTTAAGTAGTCCAGGAAAGATTAATGGGGAGTAGTAAAGAGGGATGGTTAGAATACAAGAGTTGACAAACTGAGAAAGCAAGGACTGCTTTATACCAGACTGCCTTAACTTCCTAACGTAGAATGTTAAGCGAAACATCTTTCTAGTCACTAGCAAGATGTGAGAAGACCAGGAAAGATCTGAGGAAATACTCAGTCCAAGGTACTTGACATTAGATGTAGTTTCAACCTCTATGCCGTCAATGATAGTGGGACCATGTGAGCTTACTAGTTGTTATAGGTCACGTTTTCGTCTGAAATTGAAGTCAACTACCTGACATTTAGACGGATTCAGCTTAAGACCGTTTGAAGAGGACCACTGACTAATTTCCGAGAGAAAGTTATTTAATATGGAACAGTCTGACTGAGAGTTGACAGGCATGGAGACAGAGAGGTCATCAGAATACTTGACAAAAGTGGCTACATCAGAATGGGGCAAGTCATGTAAGAAAAAAGAAAACAGAAAAGGAGAAAGAACAACACTTTGAGGAACACCAGCTAAAGTAAGTGAGGTAGTGGAGGACTTTCCATTGTAGACGGTGTACTGACATATACTGTATTATAGCGAGGTGAGTTCCGATCGGATTCACAGGGTCCTATGAAGAGACAAACGGATGCTTTTCTTCATCTAACTGATTGCTACTATGCAAAAGTGAACATCCCAGATGCGTAACACATTTTCGGTGTACCCAACTTTCGAAGAATAAATTCAGTACTTGGATTAAAAATGAACGGATAATTCTTACGGAAATGGATAATGCAGAAAGTTCTTGACGTAGATTATTAATGTAAAACATTTTCGCATAAATCTTCTCAACAATGATTGAAATATTTGTATTCAGTGTTTCCTAAGCATGGTGAATCAGAATTATAACAATATTCAGTCCACTAAACATTTAACATACAGTGTACATTATCATGCTCGTATATTTCCACTCACAGTTCAACTTACCGATAGCGCCAATAAAATATAGTTTAGTGGATAAATGGTTCTCAGCTTCTCACTTAGTAGTAAAGCACCATATATGATGACACCACACATTCTGAAACGCAAAACAAATGCATTAGTCATCACAGAGTTATATTCATTCTGATGGAATAAGGCATACTGCTAGACTACCCAGAAACACATCAAAAGTGGCCTGTCCAACTTCGTGTTCATTAGATACAGACGATGTGTGTGTATGTGTGAATGGTAGAGAAACGTGTTCAATACCATTAGGATAGTATTGATGATAGATAGTTATGATTTTGAATGAACAGAGTGCTCAATGATAATGAAATTTATGGAATACAACATCAGTAATTGAGGTATGATAAAAATCGTGAAGTTACACTGAAGTATTGACACATGATTCGGTGAGATTAAAAATGAAACTTACAGAGCAATAAAGGCAAGAATGTTGTACCTAGATTTTAAAAAAAAGGTTATTACGAAATACGATGTGTGTATTACCCACCATGTATTAAACATGCTATTTTTAAATAATAAGGACGAGAGGATTATTGACTTTGTGAAGACCGAGTAGCGTGCAAGAACAGTTTTATGAAGTGATAGGAAATGTTGTTGTCAGAGAATTGGAAACTGAGAACAACGGACACCAGGCATTAAATATTTGTTGGTCACTTTCGTTTCTTAATAAATAACTGAACTGATTAGTTTTTCTATGAATAATTTCATAGATTGGTTACAAGAATATTTATATTACATCTGTTCATAAAAATCAATGTTGTTTTGAAAAGAACTTTGTCAGGCAAAGTCTTGACTATAAACACTAAACAATCAGCATAACATAAATGTGTCATTATAATTTTTACCATGTTCAAAGTACAATAATTACTGAATCAAGAGTGTGATCACGGTGAAAATATTTTGATTAAATCTACTTCTTTTGTATTTTAGGTGTCTTTTTTTCAAGTACAACTCAATGAGGCATAAAGTTTTCTAAATCTTTGTGATGAGATAAAATTCAAAGCTGAGAGTGATATTGGTATGTATGGAGTTTGCTTATATTTGTAATGAATATCATTTTAAGCAACTACGAAAATAATCTGTAGTCTACGAGTCGATGGCACAGCGGTTAGGACTCTCGCCGACCATCCACATGGTCCGAGGTTCGATCCCACTCCGACGCACACCTGATATCTATGGTCGGCCTGCTAAATTTGGGCTAGCGATATCACATGCTGAAAATTTCATACTTGTACCAAAATACTGTGTGGAATCGAGCTATAATAAAAAATTTTTTAATTATTTCTTGGCGGAACAACAAAAGTAGTTTTATTCAATTTCGTTAATGAGGTCATGGTGTTGGCATTCAGTTCAGTTAATTGTGAACCCAAGAGCTAATTTTAACAAGAACAAAAAAGAAATACGTTCAACCTTGTCCCTGCTGTGGCCATCATAAACAGGTAATTTTTTCTAATAGTGACTATCCCATTGACTTCCTTATTCAAACTTCCTGTTTATTCATGTTATTTTAAGTTTTTCTTAATCCCTATTTACACTACCATATTTTCATATCCGAACTTCCTGTCTATTTTGTTATTTTATTATTTCTACATATTTAATCCCTAATTGCATAAACCATTACTAGTCACATTAGTTATGATCCCACTAGTTTTTTCACCCAAACATCCTGTCTATTGTTGTTATTTCTACATTTCTAACCCTTAATTCTACAATATGTCAATCTTCTCAGTGATTATGGTGCTACTTTGATTGAGTTTTATGCGCCCCCTCCCCTGTTTATTATGGTATTTTAGTTCCTAATTGTAATTCTGTTAATCTGACCCTTGACCAGAAATTATTCTGGAACTTTCCTACCCATTTATTATAAATACACGAATGTACAGCCTAGTTGATGATTTCGTCGAAAAGAAAATTTTCTTCGGTGCAAATGTCTTCTTATTTCTATAAGTATTAAACTTCGGCACTGTGGTAGATTGTAACTCCATTATGGATAAGCTTTTATTTTGATCAATCACACGGTGTTATACAGTAATATATTGACTGATGATGTTTCGAGTACAAATTACTGCTCATAATCATATCAAAGCACTCACACAACTTTCTTGCTTCATTTATATGCATGAGTAAAGTTGATCAGACATTTGAATAAAAATCAACATAAGATAAAGTACATTCAGAAATAATATTAGTGTTAGCAATAAAATACAATAAGATCGAAAATATGATGTTTCTTATAGTAAAAATAAGTAGCGTGTTGGAATGTTAGAATGTGCGTCAATTCAAATAGAATTTTAAAATTATTTATTATCTTCCTCTGATTTGACTGGTTATAATTTCTTTTTCTTCATTCAGGTAGTTTGCAGCCTATGAGAACCTGTGAAATGGAACGATATCACTTTATACTGCAAATCTGATCTTTCTTTGCCTATCGAAATAATATCTTCACTATAGGTAATATTATATTTTGATAAATTACACAGTGTTATACAGTAATATATTGACTGATCAGTTAATATCAATACGGATGAGATGAATTAAAGTCTAAATATCTACTAGAATACGTTGGCTTTTTATAAACCCAAGTGTGCAGTTTACCTTCTTCTATTCGTTTCATTTTACAATCTAACAGAGCTAATTCTCCTTGTTCATTTTCCGATTCAAATGTGAACTTTATTCCCTTAACTAGTGAGTTTGTATGTGCGAAGAAACTGGGTATATGTTATGTTTTTAACACTGTGAAAGTGTCATTCACATACCTCCACCATATTTTTGGAGTAGGTTTAAGTATATTAAGAGCCTATATGTTCCCAGCTATTCATAAAGATATCTGCCATGATAGGAGAAATTAATAATCTCATTGTAGCACCATCTGTTTGTTTATATATTTTGCCCTAGAAATTAAAAGCAGTAGATGTGAGGCATAACTGAATTCCTAACCTAATTTGCTCAATGGTCAGCTTTGTCCTATGTCTAAGTTCGCGATGAGAAGTTACTTCTCTTTTAACCGCTTTCAACACCATGTTGATTGTTATATTAGTCTAAAGACCAGTTATATCAAAACTAGCCATATTTTTTCATTGTCCTCTGATTGAATGGTATTTAGTTTCCTTTTCATTTTATATGAATTAGTTAGCCAAGAGTTTGAATGATTTCTAATGGGACATAGTATCAGAGCTAAGTGTTCTGATAATTCGCACGTCGGCATATTTCTGGTCTTATGATGTAACCTGATTTATGTATTTTTATACTACCATATATTCTACGAGCGTCATGATATGATATTATTATGAGCAATAATTTCTGCTCGAAACGTCATCAGCTAATATTACTGTACAACACTGTGATTTAGCAAATTTCTAGTTTTTGTATACACTAAAGTTGATCAGTGCACCTCATTGTTTGAGGAGAGCAGTTAAATATTCATCCTAATCTTTACCTTTTAAGATTTCCTGGGACTTGAAATGACAATGTTTCTTTCAGGGGCAACATTTAGTGATAAGAAAATATTTCCTAATGTAAAAATCGATTTTTCAAATGAGACTGCTAGGTGTCACTAGTTGTAAATACTGATAATGCACGTCAGTAAGGGTAGAATGTCAGTATTGCCAGTGAACTGACTTATAGAAGAATCAACTGTTTGCAACTAGATTAAAATGATAGATCCTGTCCATGTAGTTGCATGAATGTGATGATATGTGCATGAATGGACGGTTATCGAAATGGAGTACAGAGAACAATATCTTTCCAACCTGGATGACTTGGTGTAATAACAGTCATACTTGTATTCACCAATTTTGTGGAATGAAGGCTCTTAATAATAGCAGCTTCATTTTGCACAGCGTTTAAATTATGTACGGAAATTTCAGCATAGTTTGTTGCATGATATATTCTCTTCATCCAGAATATTCAAATAAAATATCATATGACAGTAGACCATGTGGAACACTTCTGCCTGGCGTGAAGCGCAAACCAAGAAATTACGATGTCTCCCCTTTGTCTTCTTCGGTAAAGGCACGTAATTTGGTTGAATAACTTAGAAAAGTGTCAGTGATCCATTCTATTAACCAACGACACAACCCATGAACAGCCATCTCTTGCACTGCAATACGCCCCCAACCTACAATTATGTTTTTTCTTATGATAACTAGAAACTTGCAAATCAGCAAGTTGTAAACAAGTTAAATACTCACCAGAGTATAAAACGTAATTAAAGGTCATATTTTATCAGATTTAAACAAACTGAACGCGAGGAAATATCTGTCAAATATCGATGGATTTTTCGGTAGACCAAATATAAACAGGCCGCCTTTAAGTATCCCTCCTAAAACAGCCACCTGGACTTGAACTGTATGTTGATGTTAAAGACTAAGCGTTACCCCTCTTCATTCATAGTAAAGAGCTTTTGTCGAGACGGTTCATTCGAATTCACTTATGGTGAAGTCGATACGTTGAATGTCACAGTGCATATTCACCGATCCCATTCTGTTACCCTTTCACAATATTCTGTCCTGATGAATTAAATTTGCTCTGACAAATGCAACCGTCTACACCTCTTATCTATTTCACAGCTTCAGACTAAGTCTTGCACCTGTCCACACGCCTATATGTTCAACAATGATTTTCTTCGTCTGTTTTGGCCGAGTACAGCTAGTGGTTTTGCACTTAACTGAAATAATCAGAGAGACAGGAGATTACTGTGGTGGACAAGTTTAATGGGAAAGTTCATTGGCAAAACTTGTCTAGCATTTCGGGAACATAAATTCTGTTGTTTGTTATCAAAACACTTGGAAACATTTCAGGAAAATATGATTTGGCCGAAAGAAAATTAAGGTATCTGTAGTAAAATGCTCGTTTTTGTGAGAGGAGGGCTTATTTTGACTAACTTTACTACAAATGACGTACCCATAGTAGAAATATCCTGCACACAACCATGTTTCACAGTGTGAATTAAGTTTCTGAGATCGTTACACAGACACAATCACAGTGGTAAGTGTCGTACTTTGTTCATAGTGAGAATAGTATCGTTGTATTCGCAGTATGCAAATTTTGTAGTGTTATCATTAAACCTTAACCCCACAGTGTTTCTTTATAAGAAATCAATCATTATAATCAGATGTGTTATAAACATTATTCCAGTGAGTCTATGAACTCAGTTGTCCCCACTATTGTACACCTAAACTGTGAGTTTTGCATAAAACCTTTTGATAAATAACACATTCTGTTATTCTTCTCTAAGTAACGTATCAGTGAAGACAAATTTCAATAATTTGAATATCACACACTGCTTACAGATTGCCACTGGAATTCCTGTAACTCACTTTTATAAATATACGGTAATACTAGAGAACACAGTCGACTGTCTGGAATTGACTGAACCAATTGTTTCGCCCACTTCATTGAATAAGACATCGGATATGCTTCTCTTATGCAAATAGCTTTCATTGTTGGCTTAACTAATTAGTGTCACTAAACACTTTGTGTATTATGGAAGATACCAAAGTTTTTAGGATTATATTTTGCTAGTTTACACACAAGGATGAGCTTTTTCATTTTGGTGATATCTAGGAGTTCATTTAATGAGGAAATTTACAGC